TCTGTCTGGCGAGCGCACGCGCCCTATAGCAAAAACCTCTCCCCCCCCCAAAAAAAAAAAATGTCACCATGTCTAAAGTTTTTCTTCCAATTAAGAAAAGTGCCATAAACACTAATAGAAGCAAGGGGGAGTTGTCTCCCAGCCCAACTCTGCTGAATCCGTCCAGACCTCAGGCAGAGTCAGCCGGCAGGTAAACCAATCACACCAAAAGGTGTAAATCGGAACCAGAAGCCCTGCAGGTTCTAAGGTGCTCCTCCACGTGCCGCAGTGACACTGTGACAGGCTGTCCCACAGCAATGCCTGGCCTCAGCCCAAGCGCTGGCAGCAGGACGGTCTGCCAGCACGCCCAAGCTATTCCTGCACCCAGAAAAGAAGACACCTGCGCATAGCAGATCCTCTTCACCCATCCCTCTGACTCCTGGCAAGGAAAGGAGTGGTGAGCTTGCTGGCTTTGAGGAGAAGAGCCAAGTCGGCCATGAGGGGTCCAGCCTCCTGAACCTCCATGCCACCTATGGGTCCAACACCCCACCTCTGACTGCTGTTACAACAGGGATTAAATTTAAACAAGAGGCCAAAAAGAAACAAGGGTTGAAACCCTAACACTCTGTAATCTTTGGTTTGATTTCAGATACTGAATTTCTGCATCGTTGGTTTACATAGAAGGATAATTGTATTTTGCTATATGACTTTCTGAACTTTCTTCAGAGATACTGATAAGCTATTTAAAATCTCTTTAATCCTTTTTGGGTCTTGATTTCATGGTTTGGTAGGCAAGCCTACAGGGCTCAGTCTAGGGTTAATTAGTCGCTATTCTTGAAGCTAGACAACCCTAAGGACTCTACCTAATGTTCCATGATTTTTCACCTTTTCAGTCTGGCTGGTGGGAGTAGGTGTTATTCCTTCTGACTCTTTCAGGTGTTCGTTTCCCAGGCTCAGGAGGTTTTCTTCCACACACGTAGTAAACGGTCCAGGGCTGAATACTCGAGGGGAGCTCTTGGCAGATCTGCGGGGTTTGTCCTGATGCAGCGCTCTCATTTCTGGTACTTTGTCCTGTGGATGGAAGTTTCTTTGGCCTCTCAGGTCTATGTCTTCAATTGAGGTAGTCTGCAGGCTCATCCTAAGTCCTGTCTTTTCACCGTTGCCTGAAATCTCCCGCAAGGCAGTAAGCTGGGTCACTGTGGGGCTCACCTTGTTTCTTGTTGGTCCGTGAACATTGTGTTTCATTGCCTTATGTTCAGCGTCTTAGAAGTAATTTCTCAAGCATTTTGTTGTTGGTTTAATTGTCCCAGCTAGGAAGGCAAATTACCTTCGTATTACTCTATTTTGCTGGAAAAATGGTCATAATTCTAATTCTTTTTGTCTTTATTATTATTATTATTGTTTCCATTTTAAAACCAAATCTAAGGGTTTTGTGGGTTTTACCTTGTATTTTTTTTTCTAATCAAAATAGGGTCGTGAGGCAGCAAATGGCGTAGTGATTGAGGCAACGGCCAATGGTCGAATGACAGTTCTCAGAACTGGCAGCTTAAAAATCATGTTGGGTGCATGTGTGTGTGCCCAAGAGGAGAATAGAGAATGGATTAGGACGTGCCAACACCCTACGGTGCCCCGACCCGCGGGACAGTTGAACAGGTTCCTTGGGGGAGGGAGTGAGAGATGGGACAAAAACACGCACACACAATACGAGATGCTGATCAAGTCGTCTTCTTCTGTCTACTTCCGTTTATTGAGGAGAAATGGCGAGTTATATACAGCTGGTAGGAACCAATTGGTTGCCAGAAATGCAAATGAGATAGAATAGCATGAACCAATCATTGATATGGGTGGATCTCTCCCGTTGCCTAGAAACCCAATCAAGAACAGTTGGTCACATGATTTCTGAGAAACGATTTGCTCAGTGAGGAAGTCAAGCCTAATGGTTTCCAAGATGGTGGATAGTTCAAGATGGCGGACAGCTCAAGATGGCTTCCGTATGCAGTGCTCGCCACACTACAGGGTTTTATTTCTCACTTTCTCTCCCATCAACTCCCACAAACCAATGTACTCTAAAATAAAAAAATAAATAAATAAACATAAAAAACAAAACAAAAACACAGAATCTCTACAAGGTTTAGGGAAAAATGACGTTCCTTTTCTCTTCTGTGGAAAGCAGACACCATGGCAGAATTGCACTCATAACAAGCACCCACAGTAGGTGATACAAAGCTGAGAAATGCATGAATTGGAGTGCACATTCCACGGGAATGAGAAAGGACTCAGGAATGAGGTTGACCAGGTGCCACTGAGGCTGTGCTAGTCGAGGACCTGCTAGGCCTTCTTCACAGACCCACACAGATCCTGATGTAGGAAAGGAAGAGATTAGAACGAACAGCTCACGTGAGTAAATCTGAATAGAGACGGACAATGAAATGATCCCAACCATTTCAGTGTTCCTCTCAGCGTGACTGCATGTCGCAACTCCTGTTTTTCTCACCCTAAAACCTACTGTGACGCACCTTGTGAGAACAGGAAACAGCAAAATGGTTACTTCTCTCACTCTCTGGTTAGTGGTGCAAACAGGGTATGAAAATGCTAATGTTAGTCAAAATGAGACCTTCATCATGTCCTCAGTCAAGAGACAGCTATGAGACTTACAGTTATTATTTTCTTTGTTAGCCCAAATTCTTTTGAATTCTCAGAAAATCACTGAGTGAAATTCACGCCATTGACAGTGACTCAGTCAGTGGAATCTGACCTGAGAAAGAACATATGTTCGCTGGTAGACTAGCAAAGTTGAAGGAGCTAAATTCATCCCCTGCCCAGGGTGTTAACACAGGACAAGAGAGTACTGTTTCGTAATTCATTTTCGGTGAGATTTTCTGCATACTCCTCTACGTGGTATGTGACTCGGTCTATGTATGTGATCAAGTGTTTCGGTCATTTTTTTTTGCCTGGCTCTTGTTTAACAAGGATATCCTTTATTCATTCCAAGACTATTAAAAATGTTCTACTATGTTTGTATTAAATGTTCCTAATGTTATTTAAAAAACTTACTTTGATCTCTAGTCCATCGTAAAATAAGGAGTGTGCGTGTGTGCGTGGGTATGTGCCTTGTGAAACTGGGATCTGTGTTACTTTTTTCTTAATACTGAGTCCATTGGCTCACCAGATTTATTTTCCTTCCCCACTGCAAAGTAAGTTATTCTATCTTAATATATTGCATGCTTCTATTTTCCTTCCATTCCTGATCTCTGAGAAAGACCAAAATATACAATCATACAAACCCAGTGGCAACCTCACACTAATGTTTAAGAAAGTAAAAATAATCTATCTAAATAAATCTTTTAAGAAATTTGTGAATTATACAATATAAAATCTAAAGAACACGTGAGTAAAAATAAATTTGCAAAAAAACCGCAAGGTATTTCAAAGACATTTTCTGTGATCCCAGAGCTGGCTGACTCCCTCTTTGCAAATAGTGTCAAAGTCCTGCACAGTTATGCTCTGAGGGCCGATTTTCAATTACTGGGGAGTTTTTGTTTTGCAAATATCTAATCTCCATGCCTTTGGAAGCTATGGCATTAAGGTCTTTACAGTGACCCATTGGAAGAAATGTTTTGGAGCGAAACCTGACAGGCCAGCGAACCCACTGAGACATTTATTACCCACAAGGGCAACAGCACCATCCGTGTGTTCCCAAACCATTTCCATTTTGTCTAGGGTGTAAAGGTCTGATGTGTGCACATGGCCTCAAAATGTTCATGAGAAGTACAAATTTGAAGCTGGCTAGTCTACATTTTCCTTACTAAATTTAACTAAAAAAAAAAAAAAAAGGTTGAAATTTACTCACAAAGGTTAGCGTAATTCTAAGGACTGAGATTTAACAGTCTATCTTTACTCAACGACTCAAACTATGGAACTGATTTTTTTCTGATACTGAAAAGTGGAAGTTAACAAATAGTATAATGAGGCTTTGGGAAATTGGCACTTAATATTTATGAACATGCCCAACCCAGATCCAAAAAGTTCATCTCCCAATGACATTCTACTCGTACTTTCTTGAATTGTAAAATGGACTGTTTTAGAGGTCAGAGTGGTGTGGTCCCAGCAACACAGTGATTCAGGGCTGTGCATGAGAAGTTGGAGCTCACCTGGCCAACTGTAGTGTCCCAGCCCCAGGGGCTAAAAAAACGCTTTGGGAGGGTGTGTGTCTCCAGGCCCCAAATTTTGAAGTGATGGAGAAAAAACGATTTTGGTGTAATCATGCTGCGGGATACTTTCTCTTTGTCTCTCATGCTCTGGCAACTGCATGTTCCCTCTGACAATTAAAAGCAGTAAGATTTGAATTTTTAAATAAGAAGAAATAACTCATTTAGAAATCATATTTTATTAAGATTTTATTTCATTATTTCTTCTCCCTCCCTTATAATCTATACTGATCATGTCATAGAGAATAAAGTTTAACTTTTCCCACAGTCATTTGTAATGCTCTTTTGCTTTTTTTCCAGTCTGTCTCCATTCCGTTTTTTACGTAGTGGGGAATGGTCCTTCTGTCAGCAGTTACAATTCTGTTTATTGTATAGGTAGGACTTTGCTTTCCAGAGAAAGACATGAGTTTCAGGTTGACCATTCAGAGAATGCCACGTGCCTACATGACACCCACTTGGCCAATCTGAAGTCACTGTCCATGTGGAAAGTGGGAAGAGGATGGATTTCCTACTCTGACTCTGAATATAAGACTCCAGAGGGGCCGGGGATTGCCTTTGCTGTCACCTGAGACACTCCACTGAGAAAGAAGTCAGTCCAAAGAAGGGCACAAGAGAGTCGTGGAGGCGAGAGTCCGGTGAGGACTTTGATTTCTTCCTCCCGCTGTGCCTCCTGACCATCCGTTGTCTGTGAGGCAGTGCAGCTCCTCTCGCATTTCAGGTGATTTGGCATTTCTCCCACTGCCAGCCAGACGTTCTATTGCTGTGCTCTGATAATACGAAATATCCCATACCCCCAGGATTTAATTGGTTAGTGTATTTGTAAGTTCTGGAAAATGGTCTATTCTAAGAATATGTAGTTCCTCGAATGTAGAATACTGACTGCTTCAATATATATTAGCTCTCATCGAAATGGTTATTATTATGGTTGTCACGCTTACTGTCATTTCTAGGAGCACATCTGATCTATTCATCCTTTCCCACATTTTTGGGTATTTATATTTTCTAATTTCAAATTTGGTCTGTCTTAAGTAAAACTTGAAGTTCATCTTTCCATAAGAATTATTATAGCTGAGAATTCTGGCTATAAAAATACTGGGGAAAGACTCAATTTTTTGTTTTTTAATTATATTTCCTAATTTGCTCACAAAAAATCATGACAATTTTTTCCTCATTAGAAATGTTTAATTGAAGGTCCAGCAGTTAGCATAATGGCTATGTCGCTGGACTCCCATGTAGTTGACCGTGGTTCGATTTTTAAAGTTTTTTAATTATATTTCCTAACTTTTTCTTAAAAAATCATAACAATTTCTTCCTTATTAGAAATGTATAATTGCTAGGGTTGGCAGGTGGCATGTTGGTTGAGGACACTGGGCTCCCACATGGTCAACCACAGTTCAAGTACCGGAGCTGGCAGCTTGCTTTCTTACTTTCTCTCTCTCACTCTGCCCCTCTCTGGTCATATTAAAATAAAGAAATAAAGTTAAATAAAATAATTCTTAAAAAAAAAGAAATGTATAATTGCTTATCATGCTCTCACCAGCATTGCATTTATAAAGTATTATAATCTTGCCAATTTGAAAGATACAATTTGAGTTTTTCCTTTTATGATTGAGGTTATATAATTATTACATGATCATTATCCACTGATGACTCTTTGTAGGATATGTCCCAAAAATCTTGCTTTCTTTTTTCTTTTTTTTCCCAAGGTTTTTTTGTTTTTTATTGTTGTTATACAGTGTAGCACACACCAGTGAGAGGGAAGGTGAAAATCACTCCCAAGGGGATGGCCACTCTGAAATCCCATCCTCTCCATTCTCCATAATATCTTCTTATTTATTTTCCTTTTTGGATTCTGGGCATGCATGCCCATGGGCCCAGTGTGATTTTCAAACGAACAGGTCCAGGACTCAAACTACAGTTGACCTTATAAAAATCCAGTTGCCTTAATCACACCAACTGCTGGCCCCTGCAATAGTGCTTAAAAAGATCTATTAAAGTGAATGAGGACCAGCAGCTGGTGTGGTGGTTGAGGTGCTGGACTCCCACATGTTCCATTATGTTTTGATTCCCAGACCTAGCTGCTTGCTTTCTCACTTTCCCTTTCTCTCTCTCTGACTCTCTCCTGTCTAATTAAACAATAAGAATGATAATAATAAATAAAATGAAATAAACAGTTCTTGAAAAAAAATCTGTTAAGTGCCAGCACTATAGTGCAGCAGTTAATTATGTGAGCCAGATCCCATTAGACCAACAAAGGTTCAAATACTGGTAGATCAGGTAACACAGTGGACACGTGTGCATGCAAGCCAAATTCATGACAGAATGGAGAAATGAAGGAGAGAGGACAGCTGTATATCAACCCCACCGAGAGAGGTCCTTTCTCCTTCTCCCTCTCGCTATCTCTCTGTGTGTGGCAAATGCAAGCACCCTCTGGAAATAAATAAATAAATAAATAAAATATTTTAAAAACTACAGTATAAATGAAAATGTATACTTTTTTCATTAAAGAATTATTTATTTAGGGACCAGAAGATGGTGTAATCATTACATCACTGGATTCCCACATAGTGGGCCACAGTTAGAGTCCTGGACCTGGTGATGTAACACACCAGGCACGTGTGCGTGGGTGCCCAAGATCCCGAGGGGAAAATGGAGGAGAGGAGATTGTGGTGTGGCCATCCCTGCTGGGGAGTGATTTCTTGCTTTCTGTGTTTCTGTCTCTGTATGTTTCTCTGGTGAGAGCACACACTCTATAGCAAAACTCTCTCTTTTTTAAGAAAAAGAATTATTTACTAAATTTTATTTATCATTATTGTTTTTCTCTTTGACTGGAGAGAGACACAGAGAAAGAGAGAAAAAGGGAAGGTAAGAAACCAAGCCTCCAAATCTGGGACTCAGACTGCAATCTACCATGTCACCTGAAGCCCCGTGCACATACTTTTATGAGAACAGACTTTGAGAAGTATGAAACCAAAGATTGAACTCATATGTAAAGGATTAAGAGGTTAGAGTTTGTTTTTAGAGGTTTTTGCTATAGGGCGTGTGCACTCGCCAGAAAGACAGAGACAGAGAGACAGAAAGCGAGAATTCACCCCCCAGAGGATGGCCATGCCACAATCCCTTCTCCTCCATTCTCCTCTCAATGAACTTGGACACGCGCGCACACGTGCCCGGCGTGAGTTTAAGCCACAGGGTCCGGGACTTGAACTGCGGTCGACTATGTGGGAGTCCAGCAACATAGCCATTACACTAACTGCTGGTCCCAAGAGGTTAGAGTTTTTAAAGACTGAAGAGGTGTCCAGTACAGGCCCTGTGCATGTCCTCAGAAGTCACAAAGGTGAGGCCACAGGACTTGAACTCTTATTCATGCATTTGCTGTCCTTATTCTCTCCAGCCCTAGATGTTACAGAAAGGGGCTGACTGGTGTCAGGGTGGTTGAGAAAGTGGGATTCCATAGGGGAGACTGCATGGTTCCAGTCCTGGCCTTCGTGCTGAAACATGTGTCAGACATGCATGCACACGTGTGTGCCCCAAATCATGAGAATGGATAAAAAGGGATTGCAGAATGGCCATCCCCCTGGGGGGTGATTTCTCGCTTTCTGTCTCACTGTCTCTTTCTGTCTGGCGAGCACATGTGCCCTATAGCGAAAATCTTTCCCTGCTGATTCCTTGACCTTAGACTCTTAGCTTCTAGAAATGTGAGACAATCCATTTCTTTTGTTTAAGTAACCAATTTTGAAGTATGATTTTATTTATAAAATTTATAATAATTAATTCAAATATTGTCTCTAAAGTACTTAGCACAGTACTTGAGGCTGTAGTAATTATTGAATAAAGTCTAGCTCCTTTTTTTATAGCAGCCCTAACAATCGAATATACAGGTAATTATACTTTTAATAATACAGTAGTAATAAATCAACAAAAATTCTGTACTGAGCAATAATTATTAATCAGTCCTGTGCTAGGTCTTTTGGTACCTTATTGAATTTTGCCCTCCCAAATGCTTCTGTGAGATAGGCATAATTATTATCCCCATTGCATAGATAAGGAAACTGAGGCTTACGGCTTACAGTTTCAATAGCATTCTCAAGGTCATACAGATGGAGAGAGGTGCAGTACAGATCTGAATCAGCCCATCTCAATGCCATAGCCTGTGGCCTGGTTTACTTTGTAACTCTGGAGAACCTCAGAGAGAGAAAGTCCATTGGAGTGATTCCAAACATTCACTTCCCATCAGCCTCAGTAAATGAGAAGCAAAAGGAGATACGGAAAGTGTGATGTTGACAATACAGCAGTTAAGTGGGAGAGAGGAGTCGAAATGGACAGGTGGTCAACAGGTCCAGGACTCAAACTACAGTTGACCTTATAAAAATCCAGTTGCCTTAATCACACCAACTGCTGGCCCCTGCAATAGTGCTTAAAAAGATCTATTAAAGTGAATGAGGACCAGCAGCTGGTGTGGTGGTTGAGGTGCTGGACTCCCACATGTTCCATTATGTTTTGATTCCCAGACCTAGCTGCTTGCTTTCTCACTTTCCCTTTCTCTCTCTCTGACTCTCTCCTGTCTAATTAAACAATAAGAATGATAATAATAAATAAAATGAAATAAACAGTTCTTGAAAAAAAATCTGTTAAGTGCCAGCACTATAGTGCAGCAGTTAATTATGTGAGCCAGATCCCATTAGACCAACAAAGGTTCAAATACTGGTAGATCAGGTAACACAGTGGACACGTGTGCATGCAAGCCAAATTCATGACAGAATGGAGAAATGAAGGAGAGAGGACAGCTGTATATCAACCCCACCGAGAGAGGTCCTTTCTCCTTCTCCCTCTCGCTATCTCTCTGTGTGTGGCAAATGCAAGCACCCTCTGGAAATAAATAAATAAATAAATAAAATATTTTAAAAACTACAGTATAAATGAAAATGTATACTTTTTTCATTAAAGAATTATTTATTTAGGGACCAGAAGATGGTGTAATCATTACATCACTGGATTCCCACATAGTGGGCCACAGTTAGAGTCCTGGACCTGGTGATGTAACACACCAGGCACGTGTGCGTGGGTGCCCAAGATCCCGAGGGGAAAATGGAGGAGAGGAGATTGTGGTGTGGCCATCCCTGCTGGGGAGTGATTTCTTGCTTTCTGTGTTTCTGTCTCTGTATGTTTCTCTGGTGAGAGCACACACTCTATAGCAAAACTCTCTCTTTTTTAAGAAAAAGAATTATTTACTAAATTTTATTTATCATTATTGTTTTTCTCTTTGACTGGAGAGAGACACAGAGAAAGAGAGAAAAAGGGAAGGTAAGAAACCAAGCCTCCAAATCTGGGACTCAGACTGCAATCTACCATGTCACCTGAAGCCCCGTGCACATACTTTTATGAGAACAGACTTTGAGAAGTATGAAACCAAAGATTGAACTCATATGTAAAGGATTAAGAGGTTAGAGTTTGTTTTTAGAGGTTTTTGCTATAGGGCGTGTGCACTCGCCAGAAAGACAGAGACAGAGAGACAGAAAGCGAGAATTCACCCCCCAGAGGATGGCCATGCCACAATCCCTTCTCCTCCATTCTCCTCTCAATGAACTTGGACACGCGCGCACACGTGCCCGGCGTGAGTTTAAGCCACAGGGTCCGGGACTTGAACTGCGGTCGACTATGTGGGAGTCCAGCAACATAGCCATTACACTAACTGCTGGTCCCAAGAGGTTAGAGTTTTTAAAGACTGAAGAGGTGTCCAGTACAGGCCCTGTGAATGTCCTCAGAAGTCACAAAGGTGAGGCCACAGGACTTGAACTCTTATTCATGCATTTGCTGTCCTTATTCTCTCCAGCCCTAGATGTTACAGAAAGGGGCTGACTGGTGTCAGGGTGGTTGAGAAAGTGGGATTCCATAGGGGAGACTGCATGGTTCCAGTCCTGGCCTTCGTGCTGAAACATGTGTCAGACATGCATGCACACGTGTGTGCCCCAAATCATGAGAATGGATGAAAAGGGATTGCAGAATGGCCATCACCCTGGGGATAGCTTTCTTACTTATCCTCTTTCTCTTTTTCTCTCTCCGTCCAGCAAGCATGTATATCCTCTACCAAATTAAAATACAAAACAAAAACAAATAAATGTCACAGAGGCTTTGCGTTCTTTAAGCCTATGTGCAGATCTCTGCAGCCTGTCACAGTGGCATCAGTCTTGCCCGGAGGACACTAAAGGACACTGATGAGGGAGTGAATGCAGGGGTGGGAGGTCTGGGCTGTGAAACAGTCACAAGGCTCCCACCCTCCCAACACCAAGTTAGTTGTTTTTCCTTTCTTTTCCCATTCTTTGCCCTCTTATGCTCTATTTTCCTATTCTCTCCACTTTCCAATGTGTGCCCCAGTATCTACCTGTTTAAGGTCAGCGTTTCCTACTTTTCCTACTCACAAATGTAAAACCCTGCTATGGAACCTGGAACTGGAGCTGCTCCATCTCCATCGCAGGAGTCCAGGGTCTCTGTGACTCCACTCTTAGACACCCACTCAGGCCGCCTCAGGGAGACTTACATCAAGAGCACACAGTAAGAAAACCCAGGACGCTGCTTCTGCAACAGCACAGCTAGGCCGCCTGGAACGTGGACCACTCTGTCATAGCGCTCAGTGGCTCAAAGACAGTCGTGGCACTGCCCTTTCAGGCATCACCGTGTTTCTGTTAGTCTCTTTTTATAGAGCTCAGAAGACAGGCTGGAGACAAATACAGTCTAGCCTCAGACAGGGAAACTGGACTGGTGGAGACCATAGAACAGCAGTGAAGGACAGAGATTGGGAATTAGATGGAACTGGGCTTGAACCCGGATCTCGCCAGAACTAATGTAAGATTTTAAGCAACCTTCCTCCACAGAGAGAGGTGGCCTACACCCTCAGAAACTGTACAAAAATTATGTCTTGATCACAGGATAGTTGGGTGGTGACGATAGGTGTAATTGCTTAGGCTTTATCTCTGCCCATTATGCTAGCTGCTGTAGCTCACTGTCATGTTTATTTTAGTTTGACTTCAAGAACCTATGTATCTTGGCTTCTCTAACTTGGGCCTGGCTTGACTCCTTCCTCAAGGGCACCTATGGCCAGATATGAGAAAAAGGAGAAAGGAAGACGCTAAGGAATTTTCTTCATCAAAGCTGGATATTAATGAAAAGAGGGAAAGTCACTGATGGTAATTTTCACAGCAAGTTCTCAGCTCCTAGGAAGGGAAGAGATACGCTTGTTCCCCACAGAGAGCGCCTGTGCCCCTCCTCGCCCTCGCCTCCCTCTGTCCCCACTGTTGTCTTGATCTCCTCTCTGCTTCCCTCCTGCCCTACAGCTCTCGTTGTCGATTCCTCAATCTTTCCTCTTTTCCTCCTGACTCTCTTTCTCGTTCTCCTCTCACCTTTCCCTCTCTAACCCACAGTCTCCAGACTGACAATAAGCCTAGTCAGTTCATTTTTGTTACTAATTCAGAGAAATTTAAATGGATTCTGAGTCATTGATTTTAAAAAGGTCCAGAATCTTAGTGTTCAGAACTGCAAGAGGTGGCAGAAGTGTGGCCTGCTCGGGAAATGGGAGCAAGCACATTCTCACAACAAAGCCTATTTCCTTGTGTCTTTCAGTCTCTAGAGGAAAAATGACAAGGATGCTGCTCACCGCACACCCCCTGCTCCTGCTGCTACTGCTGCTGCAGTCATTGAAGCCGTTGCAGTTTTTCAGGGAGGAATCAAATTTTTATTTACCTCCTGATGTAGAAGAAGAGTTTGAAGATTATGTGGAGGAAGTTTTGGGTACAGGGGCTACCCGACCACCTACGAAAGAGAAGTTCATAAGGTTTACCATTATTCAACCTGGAAGACCATTATTAGATAATTACTATTGTACTGATACAATCAAGGATAGAAATGTTCACCACAGGTTTAAGTGTGTGAAGGAACACTACTTTCTCCTGACCCCATATGATGAGCTGAAACAGTCTTGTCGCCACAGATATGTGCAATGTAAGAATGGAGTTAGGAAATGTAACATGAGCAAGAATCTAGTAGAAGGACTTTACTGTAAGTTAATAGCAGGAACCCAGATGCCAGAGTGCACGTTTGAGTCAACTTATAAGAGGGGATATGCCTTTATCACTTGTCAATGGGAAGATAGAATCCAAGAGCTTGTTCCTGATAATGTAGATGATATTAGCATGCCAACTGAAAATGAAATCGAGTCAGATGATTATATTTTACCAGAACCAATTGACCCTTCAGAAGACGACCTGGGTTGGAGCGTATCACCCTCTCCACTGTGATCCTTACAGATCAAGTTGAGAAATGGCCATTTTGATTCAATTCATGGTAATCATCCACTTCCTCACTTCCTCCCATGTTCCCTTATGCTACCTGAGTACAACATCAGTTTCACAGATACTGTTCTGAGATGTGGCCTCATGCCAGTCACACGTGTTGGCATATTTTAAATATTTATGTGCATGAAAGCCTGCAGTGAAAGGACAACCACACCACAAGGAACAGGAAACCCTTGCCTGAAGTTGCTCCAAAGACATAATTGTGTGATTCTGTAGTTCATCAGAAAGATTAAAGTGCTTCAACCTAGTGTGGTGGCTCTGCTATGGTTATATGGAGTTTCCAGGTTTGGCATTTTCCTTTTTTTTTCAGGAAGGAAGAAAAGTTGATATTTCCATTTAAAGAAACAAACTAGAAAAATATTTCAACAAATTGCTGAACCTATCAACACCCCCCAAAAAGTAAAATGTTTAAATTGGGAAAACAAAGCATAGTTAAAAAAAAAAAGAATCAATAATGTTTTACTCAAAAGTCATAAAATCCTATTTTGCTAGTTCAGTCTTATGTTCAAACTCCCTTCAGTTGAACATGCAGAGTTACTGTGGACCAATCTTCCCGTTTAAATTCTGAGAGTTAACATTCAAAGTTGTTGTTGATATTTCTTGTCCTTAGCATTAATTTGGTCATTTTCTTGTTTGCCTTTTGTTTTCTTATTTCTGTATGTGTCTTTAGTTTTCCTGGTTGAGCACTCCTTTCAGAACTTGAAGACTAGGTCTGCTACTGGCAAATTCTTTCAGGTCTTGTTTATCTGAGAATGTTTTCATGCTTTCTTTCCATATGAAGGATAATCTTGAGGGGTATAGTATTCTTGGTTGAAACTGTTTTTCACTAAACACTTTGAATATATGTTCCCATTGTTTCCTTGCTCGCATTGTTTCTGATGAGAGGTCTCAGGCTAGCCTTATTTATAAGTAACCTGATGTATCTTTCTTGCCAATTTAGTATCTTGTCTTTGTAGATTTGACCAGTCTGGCTATGATGTGCCTTGGAGAAAATCTTCTTGGGTTGATTCTATTAGGGGTCCTTTGTATTTCTTGGTCCTGGATATTTGAATGCCTCTCTAGATTTGGAAAGTTTTCTTCCAAGATTTCATGGAATAAATTATCAATGCCCTTATTAGTTTCCTCACCATCTGGGAAACTGATTATCTGGATGTTTGGGTGTTTAATGCTGTCTAGTATTTCTTGTATAGTATTCTCATTTTTTTGGCGGGGGGTTATTTTCTCAGGGTTTTTTTTT